AAAGAATGAACTAATGAGAAATCATTCTAGAAAAAAATGGAATAACTGAAATAGTTTTAGTTTTGCAGTACAGTCAAAATAAAGTATGCTCTACCCCTTTTATCAACTGATGCCTTTTGGGGGTTTTTTGGCCTTTTTTTTTGCTTTTTTTTCTTCCAGTTTAAAGAATTGTATTAAAATTCAGCTAACATGGCTTCTAGAAGGGCAGTGTGCCTGGCTGGCCAAAGCGATTGCTGAGAAGTAAATCTAGTCTGAATTCTGTTTTAAATACTGGCTTTTTCACACCACCATGGCTAGAAGTTAGACTTTGGTGAGAAGAAGGTGCTCATCTTCACCACGCACGTTTTCTTACCTGTGACAACGCTGAGCACTTAGCAATGCAGAATTGTAAGGTGACGTGAAGCTCTTAAAAGTGTATATGAAAATTGGATGAAAAGATACGGAAAGGTTTGTTGGTCCTATTAGCTGCTTTTTTTCAAGAGACTACTCCTTAAATGCATTGCCATGTAGATTAAAAGTTATTTATAACATGAGGCTTAAGACTTCAATGAGCTGCATGCTGCTTTAGCTATCTGGATATATTGTTTAAAAAGATCTGGGCTGGGCCGGCATTTAAAGATGCTTTGTTTGATTTTTCTTGTAAACCAGTTCCACCAAATGTGAGAGCCAGTTTTATTTTAAAGTCTAGCTGGTGGTTTCAGGGAAGCAGATGTTTAAGTAGCTCACTCTCTCTGAAATGTGTCAACGTTTTGTATGCTGCTATTTCCATGGAAACAGGTATTGGCTTAGCAAAAATGGCATAGGGATTTCAAAATTACATTTTAAAACACCAAGACAGGTTAGTCATTTTTATTTTTACTCATAAACACTGATAGTCGTGTTGAACAGAACCTGTGTTTTGAATATATTAGGTATAGTCATGCGAATCGGCAGATCAGTGATTAGTATTTTCAATTAATGTTTTTAAAAAGTGAGCTAGTGTTTGTTAGAACTTTATTAGAAAAACATGCATTTATTGCATTTTGCTCAGCACATGCTTTTCTACTTACTTGAAGGCAATCACAGTTTTTATCACTTCTTTAGGCCTCCACCTTCCTCAAAAGAGGTGAAATACGTTTTGGATGAGAACTACAGATTTCAGCTAGTTGGCAAACTACACTTTTAAAAAAAAATATTGAGTGGCTCATGAAACACAACTGATAAGTTGTTTGTAATCTTTAGCAGCATGTAAAAACAAAGTAAGCCCCATTTTTGGGGGCTACTTTGTTTGCCTTTGGGGACATTTGCTTTAGGAATAGCCCACTTACAGCCAAAGTAGTTAACCCAGTTCAGCGTTGCTACAGCATCAAAAAATAGGATTAAACTAGCAGGACTTGTTGCTTCCCAGGATATCGTACAAAGAACAAATCTCAGATGAAGTTGAGGACAAGGAGCTCCGGGAATTCCTGAAAAATGAAGACGTCTTTAATCATCATCTTGCATCTTCAGCTGCGCTGTTCAGACATTTGAATTTATTTCCAGCTCAAGCAGTGGTTAGATACCAATGTGAATCAAATATCCCAAGTCCTCCAGAGCAGCGGTTCCCAGCTGGTGAAGAGCTGTTGGAAGCGAGGCACGGGGCGGGAGAGGAGGTGCTGCAGGTCTGCAGCACTGGAGGCCTGCTTCAAGGAGGAGGTGGGAGAAGGCACCACCGCCAGGGAGCTGCGGGGTTTTGCTGCAAGGCAGGGCTGTGAGGGAAGAACCGGGTGTGAACAGAAGAGACTGCTGGCACTGTGTGAGGAGGAGGAGGGCAACGAGGCGAAATGGGAATGAGAAGGTGGCACGGGACTGACTGGTGGGGTGGAGGAAGCAGAAAACAGCTGTAACAAAGCCACCTACAAACAAACAAAAGCAAGGAACATTGCTCTAAAAACATTGGCAGTTTCCCAAAAGAACACAGACCTTTTTTTTTTTCTTTCCCCACTAAAATGGAATTTGTTTGACAGAACAATTCCCCTTAGAAATAAAATTCTTTAAACATTGGATCACTAAATAATGAAGGGTAAAGTGCTTAGCGACCTAAATTAGATTCCTTAAAAGGATACCCACTAAGATCAAACTCTGTTTCTCTATGGGCTATACTTAAGCCAAATATTTTCCCAAAATACAGAGGCAAAACAAGCCTACAATTCACGTGTACAGTTTGCTGTCTTGAGTCTCCTAGCACTTTTCAAATAGCAAAAGGGACGGGTAGCGTTTGCCTGTTGTCAAAACTTCATTGAGTGCTGTGGGTGCATCAGCGGTGGCGCTGCTTGTTCTGCCAAGGAGACACCAGCCAAACCAGAGATGAAATTTTCTTCTGCGACAGACGCTCGTGTCTCTCCTTCATAACTCTCTATTTCCCCCTTCCTTGGTTGATTATGAAATAAGCCATAGAACTATGAGTATTGATTTCTCAAGGAATAGAACAGAAAAACACAAGAAGTAAGCATACTGGTTGAGACCAAATGGCCATCTGGGCTGCTATCTTGCCATTTTACCATCTTCTTCAAACAGTAATGAAAAACATGGATTTTTTGTCATCTTGCCTAACCGATTTTAACCAGTAAGTAAGGTGGGTGCAGACTTAGGGGTGTTTCCTGGGAAAGGGAGATGGCGGTGTACTTTGTGGTGTTTCAGTCGCTGCAGCGGTCACGTGCCAAGTCATTTGTTGCAGACGTACGGTTGGTGCCATCTCCTAAACTAACTAAGCCTTGCTCAAACCACGCGCAGGCGACAGCAAGGCGGGTGTGCATCATGAGCTTACCGTGGTCCCCTCCAGACCAGTTCATGGCAGAAGTGAGGTAACCAATATGGCAATTAAAGGGTAATGGTTTAGCAAGGCCTTGAAAGCTAGGATGAACGTTTTAATTTTTACTATCATTAGACCTAAAGAATGTTAGCACGGGATTGTTCTAAATATAAAGTAAGAGACAGCCTGTGGCATACAACAGAACAATGAGAAAAGGTATACTTAATAAGAAATGGATTATGCATAGTAGTTATAGCAAGACTATAATTATAAAGAGTCACCTACTTCCCAACATCAGTTATCTAATGATTTTGTCTAGAAATGCCAGATAACATCATTCTGTATCGTATACAGAAGTAACCAGGTCACAGGGAAAATTGGAATGAACAGAAACACATGAAGGAATCCTTTGTATCATTTGCCATCTCACTCAGGATGGTATAAACATAGCTAAAATGGTCCCAGAGCACTAACAAAGCAAAACTGCTTTTGGTATAGAAGGGGTTTATTTTTTGGTCTGTTGTTTTCAAAAGCACCAGATTTGTACAGATTCAAAGAAATAACATGAAATGGTTTAATATTCTAGAAGACAAGAAGCTAAAGTAAAATTTGATTATGTATCTCCCCATCACGTTACTGGGAAAGCAAGGTAATACCAGGCTGAGTCAGGGTACGGTCACAAGATCAATTGAAAACTGAGCTGGGTGTGAACATCAGCACCTGCCTCTGAGCATACATTCCTCACTGTAAGCCAGGTTAATTTATTCCATAACAACAGAAAGCTACTGACCTCTGTGCAGGAGCATGTATGTAGGCTTCTATCAAAGGGCAGCTCATCTGTTGTAAACTTCACCTCGTGCACCTTCTCGTAACTCGTTTGTTTGACCAAAAGTCTCAGAGGCTTCAAGGGGGGAAAGCCACAGGGCTAGCACGTGCGCCGCAGGAGCGGTGGCTCACACGGGGCTGGCCAAAGCAGCTTTTATACAGTGCCAGAGGTTATATGGTGACAGACTTAAGGAAGACTTTCACAATACTGCCGAGTTATTCTTACATACCCATAAAAGCAGCTCAAAATTTGCTGCCTGTGTTTCTATGCACATTCCCACCGAGTGCACAGGTACTGGAGTTGAAGCAGGCTTTTGGCTTAGCAATATCCAGGGAGCACATGCTGGTACTGCCCCACACGTGACAAAAACAAGCCGTAAGGCACATAGCGAGTTTCTCACCTCCATCACTGCCCCCAGAGTTGGCCTTTATGAAACAGCTGTAACCATTGCCGATCTGTCAGAATACCTCGACTTCTGCAAAGCCCTAAGTTAATCCAGTTTTGAAAAGTCAAAAGAAAAAAAAGCCAGAAGCCTCACATACTTTAAACAACTTAATTTATTAGAACCCATAAATGTTGCTTTCATTAGAAGAATCAAGTTAACACCTAATTTGGGTGAAATTACATTTTGAGACAAACAAAAAATTGTAGTACTTAAATACAGTATTTACTGAAGACTGCTATTCTTAGAGTCCTGGTACAAGTTTATACTTATTGTGTGGTATTAGTATGGTATCTAATTCTGAGCAGGTTCAACATCTTATTTTCAACTGAAAGTACATCACACCATGCAAAGGGCTATTCCCCCCCATCTGCCTCCCAGAAGTATGGAATGAAGAGCTCAAGCCTTAAACAAAAAAAACCCACACCCTTGAGATGCATCACCAGAATCGGAAGTTTTTATTTCTTGTATATTTAAGACTGATTGGTAGAAGACACCTGTAGCCAAAAAAAAGAAAAAAATTGTATGACCGTTGAAATTTATTTAAAAGGTTCACTGAACTGGCATCGAGCAAACCTTAACTGTTACTTCAAATTGGAACCTGAGTACAGAGATAAAGTACAATCACCCATGTCATAGGCCCTATAATTTCTTTTCACAGTAGCCCTTTTGGAGAAGCAGGTTGGGTTAATAACCTTAATTTTCACTACTGTAGATCAACAGAATCATTTCCATAAAATTAAGAAAGTGCTTAAACACAGAATACAAAAAGTATCTAACTTACAAACCTTCCGATATAGAAAATCAAAACGTGGAACGTGGCAGATGTTTAGAGATCTGTATCAAAGTATTAAATTGTAAATTAACTGGAGTGACTGCAACACAGGATGGATGCTCTTGAGACAGTGAAACAGTGTATACGATGTATTTACCGAGGGTAAGGGTTGTTCCTTCCGTTAAGGTTCCTACAAAGCTGATGTAGACTTGTCTGTTTCTCACTAACACACTTGCTCTCTTTAACACATACACAAATATTTCCTACAAGCTGTGCTGAATTATTTATATTACCTTTTAAAATAAGCTATTAGTTACACAACTTCTTCAGGATGTATCAAATTATTAAAATTCTAATATCACCGATTTCCAGCTCTAGCTACAAGATTTGGTCATTGTATACGAGAATTAAAACAGTACTTGCTTCCGAAGACTGTCATAGCCTTTCCTCAGTTACATTAAGGAAGGAGCAATTTTTTAAACATTCAGTTTTCATTCTCAACTGATAGCTCACCTGCAAAATACAAAAACACAGCACTCGTGAAAAGCAGGAGTATTTTTGCTCATACAGGTATTACTGTAGAAAAGGAGTCCATTGGCTGTACATTGTTTCCACAGTGTATTTGTTAGATGAGATACAAACTGTACAAGTTCTCCAGTTTACAAAGTTTTCCAAATTGCAGAAACAATTCAGCCCGGTATTTATAATATCGGTTTTAAATGTAAAGATTATTACAGATAAGGTACAGTCTAAGTAATTGGCTCAATGTAACAACAAAAATGTAGTTTTAATACAATTTGCAATAGTACAACTATGTACATATGTACAGAACTGTTTCCTTCTGTTACTTCGCTGACTTTGAGTCTACTCATCACTTAAATTATCAGCTTCCTTTAAAGTAAGAAACACTGAAGTAAAAATGGTTCAGTTTTGCAGCACTTCAAGTTCCTCAGTGGAGATCTCTTCTCATCTACATTTCCTGCTTAATTCCAGCCTTAAAGAACACCGTCACTGAAGCGTGGCTTGCCATAATCAACAAGGTCATTTTGTAGATCTCTTTCTTCATCATCTGCAATTAAAATATTCAGATCAAATCTGATGTGATGCTACTGAAAAAATATTTAAACATACTTTCCCAGAACATGCTGCTAATGCATACATCCACACTGAATTGGCCTCGTCTGGTTATGGGAATGAAGTCATCGGGGAAAATACGGAGAACACATGTGGGCCTGCAATTACAAGTCCAGCTGTCAGCACTCGGGGAGTCGTCCCTCATGAAGAACCGGGACTTCACACTGTTTAATATCTTTGGTTTTATTGCAACCGTGTTTCAGAGATTTATTGACTTAAGAGACTGTAGAACTAGTTAAACTTACTACTGTAATTTGAGAATCTTCCTTTAAAGGTTTCAAACTCTCCCACTAAAACCCAACTACAAAGTCAACTACTTCAGAAAGTTACATTGCCATTTTTTAACCCATTCTAGAGTTAATACATTTAAGATTTTACAAAGGTTGGATATCTCATGGGACAAGCACAGACAAGTCTAGACTAAGGTAATACTTTTTCCACCTACTTCTCTGCTTTGAAAAATGATCCCTTCCACACAAATGTGGCACAGCACATTTTTCAGTGATGGGATTTTTACTAATGCTGGAGTTGACTTTGCTGTCAATGTTTTTACATACTGCTATCTTGTATCTCAGACTTGAGGGTAAAATTTGAAGAGAGACTTAAAGACGTAAAAGGCAGCTCTCAACCTTTTCAAACCTCTTATCAATGGAAATCCCTGTTCTCTCTCTCGGCACTGCTGAAGAATCAACAATGCATTTTTCACCACTACTCTTCACAAGTGAAACAAACCCATCTAGCCAGGCTCCTACGTGATAAACACTCAGCCCATCAGTCAAGACGTCTACTCTTGACTCGCCAGGAAACACACAGCAGGAGCTGGGAGCAGGGCAGGGGCAACGCATTGTAGGTGGCCCCGCAACCGATGCAAAGTGGCCGCTTCAGGCACACCACATCTTTCCCAGCTGCATTTGGTTCATCTTTAACAATGGATTTACAGGTTTGTCCTTGACTGGAAGCACGAAGATGTTTCATCTCATCTTTCAGATCCAGAATGACTGTCTCTCTCCACCACTCTACACTCTGTCCTACTTCTGGACTTCTTTGGTTTTGGTTTTTGAGCCTCGTGAAAAATCATAAAATTAAAAGAAACCCTTGCGCATCCTCAGTACATCCATTTAATATCCAGCCACCACAAAAACATTTAATATAGTAGAAGCCAACAACTTTTAAATATCACCTTGCATTTCAAACAGGTGGACTGAAAGAAGGAATGCCAGACTGGATACTGACATTCACATGAGCATATCTCCCAAATTTGTGTATTTTCCTCTGATAATTTCAATCTAAGGCCCACACATTTCTAGTGGCAACAGAAAAACATGTTTAATTAAATTGCTTTGTTTGCACATGCCACATGATTTGTTCTAGCCTGATGCAAAACCATGTGATGTTTTTCTAATAGTTTTTAGACAGAAATTCAGGGTTTTTTCCTCCCTAAACAATTATAACCACCCTCCCTCCAAACCCCCACAATTCTACCCTCTCCTACCCTGCAAACAAATTACTGTAAAGACTAAAGCAGACACTTTTTCTAAAATGCTACTTTTGGAAGTACCAACTTGCCATGCTGTATGACTTGTACCTCAAATCAACAAGTTATTAGGAAGCAACATAACAAAGGGCTTGAAAAATTAACTCTGAGGTAGTAACGTACACCGTTCAGGCTATTCTTCATGAAAAGGCTTCCAGAAGTCGCTCTTTAATCTTTACTACCAGATATTAAATCCATTATGTCTATACAGATATACAGAGGAGTTGATAAGAAAAAAGATTTTAACCAAGTCCAAATTTAAAGCCACCACAGTAGTGAACTGACAGGTACCACATCTAAATGGGAAACAGTTTTATGAGGCCACTTTCAGTTAGAGCTCTTATTTTTTCAAATACCCCTTGCATCGCAAGCTACATAAGCACAATCTCTACGTTTTTTAACAATTTTCCACCACTTATTACTGTATCATACCCACCCTTTTGTAAGTGGCATACAGGAATGCTGTTCATGTTCCTGGTAACAGTTTACAGCATATGTGATATTAACTCTTGCTACCTAAAGCCATTAGTTTCCCTGTAAAGGCCACCATAGCAATGCATTCGTGCTGGTAAGCAAACGAGCACGGAGCTCTGAAGTACAGCAAGAGCTGTGTACAGCAGGAACACAGCGCTGCGCCCCAGCACTGCTTTGGGCAGCCAACCTCCTCCCACACTCCTCGTCAGCAGCGCAATGGCTGCGGGTAAAGATGAGCCCAAAGGCTGGGTTAGGCAAATGGGAGAAGTTAGCACAGATTCAGTAACGGTTATGTGGCCTTAGTTAAAACTTCAAGAATCATATTCTGAAGTCCAGTAAAGGAACTGTTGTGGTGAGGAACCAGGCATCGCCCACTGCTTACTAAGGGGAACTGAACTAAAAACCATTTCCTTTTCATTACAAGATCATCGTCATTAGAAGCAAGTCTCCTACTTCCACAGCATCAACAGAAGGAGCTGTATGTACTTTTGTACCTTCATTTAGAAGCTAGCTTGTACAAGCAAATTACAACCCAATAATAACCCCTCCAGAGGAACAGATGTTAGCAATCCAGAGTGACTAAAATCCGCTGCTAGTTTTGAGGAAAAGTGTAACAAAACAGGCCACATCTTCTGGAGCAACAACAGAGTTTTCATTTTTATCAGTAAGTTAATTAATTGCCCAGGGTTCTGAGCCATACTTTTCTTTTGCTTGTTCATGAGTTTCAAACTACCAGTCCAGCCAAAAAATGCTTACACTGCAGTCAGATGCATGCCCACAGCAATCAGTTGCTTTTTATCAGCTTTTCCCCATTAATTATGCTTGGATACCAATTAAATACATGTCTGAAAAACTACCAGCTAAAAAACTTGCATTATGAGGATCAAAATCAGGGTGCCTGTAGAACTTCAATCGTTTTGGGTTTTTTTTCCCCCTCCCCCCTCCTCTATTTTGCACTTTCCTTAATTGGAAATACTATATATGGTTACGTAAACATTTTCACCCTACAGACATGCAAGCCTTTCACAAAGTATTGCCAAACAACTAGATGGAGAATGGTAGACAACATGGCAGGTACACGGCAGACAAGCAATGAAGGGGCGATGCACTGAAACACATGCAGAACAAGAGGTGGTGAACATGCATACACAGGTATTAGGCTAGCACCAGATTAATGAGTTTGGAAGTTTGGTTAGCAAGGAAAACCAGAAGCCTGTTGAATCTGTGTACAATGCACGAAAATTACACTTAGAATTGCTAACTGAGACCTCATTGCATACCACCTCAAGGCAGGTATGACAAAAGCAGCAGTCAAAAAAACCCTACGCTTCTGTATTTGAAAACTGCTTTAGTAATGTCAAAGACTAATCCCAACTAGCTAGATACCAGATTTGGGGTTTTAGACAAAACCATTTCTGAAATTTGAAGCGTCTGTATTTTCCTAGCAGAAACTGTATACACAACTGAAATAAGGTATCGACATCCTCTCACTGAAAACTGCTGTAACACTGCTTTCAAACGGAGAGCAAGACCAAATTTTAAAGATTGCCTAAAGCTTATTTATTCTATATTAGAAATTTTTGATCAGCTAAAAATAGCGAGGCTTTACACAAATTCAACAAGTAAACTTAGCGTGGATTTTATTACAATGGGATGGAGATAAGGCCCAAGCTCACCTTGGACGTCTTCTTCTCCACCATCACCATCCTCTTCCTCATTGTAAGCCAGCTCAGCCTGTTTGTCTGCCTCATACTCACCCACGTTACCATCATCCCCATTATAATCTGCCAGTTTAGAACCCTGCTGCGGATCAACAGGGGATTCATTCTCATCAAAGAATCGGCCTGTGAAGTAGGCAAAGGATTAAGTCAGAAGCAGAGAGGAAAGAAATAGGAAGATTCTAAATGAAAGCAGACCGCAGGTTAAGATAGTTGGGTTTTTGTAGTAGTTCCAGCTGGAGGAGAAAGGGGGTAGAAGGGAGAGGGCCTGGGCAGGGGGAGAACAAGGCTTATGGAACACCTCCGTGCAAAAAGGATGTACTCGGTCATTCAGCATTTGGATCTTGTGAAATCTGATTGTTATAAGCTTCACTCTTTGGAGAAAAGAGCTAGAGTAAGCATCCAGACAAAAAGCTCCATCTTTGATTACCTACAAACACTACTAAAAGTTTTCTTAAAATGCTGCAGAGCATACAGTGGAAGGTTTTGTATCTAGACTTTTTTCTGAGGAAGACTGGCATTCTTCTACACACAATGGAGCACTACATTGCTGACTTCGCATACGGTAACATCTGCAGAGTGTGTACCATACTGTCAAGGGTAAAAATCTAGCAAAGATCTCCCTTGTATCTCTGAACTGATTTTTTTAACTACCTAATTAATTTGGCTTTACACCCTGGTTTCCTATTAAGCTTTAACAGTTTTCAAAATATTCTGAATCCAGTATTTTTGTCTCCCAGCAAAGAATTAAGCATAGTTCCAGATACTGAAACAATGCAGAAGAAAACACAAGAATTAGCTGGAACTATGACATGACTAGACAGTCAACCCAGCACACAATGAAAGATTAATGGTGTGATGTCAAGTTCACTTGGAGCTGGTGTTTAATGGGATACAAGGAGATCTGTTCCACGTCCAATGCAGTTCAGTCTGCTTGCCCACTGCTTAAAGAATGCAACACTGGGTCTGCAGAGGATACAAGTCTGGAGGGATTATCTATAAATGACAAAAAATAGGATTAAAGTGCGATACAGTCTTTACAGACTGGAAATGGACTGAGAAGAAGTCTGCCAAGGCAGATGTTAAGTTATTTGCAGTAGAAGCAATTAAACAGAGAAGTAAAACTGAAGAATATGATTTCAACATTAGGATTAAAAAGGAGGTTGGGGTTACAATGGACAGATGTAAAAATGAAATTACTTCTTAAAACAATGAAAACTATCATATGTGGCAGTATATAAAAATCAGGACAGAAACAATGACATAGTGCTTATCTGGATGGGGAAGAAAACCAGAAGAATCACATCTAGTGCAGCTCAGATGTACAGAAATGGAAGTTTCAGTTATTTTCATAAAATAAACAAGAAGAAACTACGATCTGTTTAGAAACCAGAAGTTTAATATATTATTCATTCTCTATTCATGTCTAATTGAATAATCCTTGCTATTATTGTTTGTATTTTTGGACACTGCATTATATATAAAAAGCAGACAGAACTATACAAGTCGCACATATTAAATATAAAACAAGCTATGCAAAGACAACTGAATGCACTTAACTTACAGAAAAAACGAGCCTGTAGATATGCCAGAAATACTGTGACAAACAAGTACTGAATAAATTTAAGCTGACAGAAGGAAAGGTTAAAATATTAGAAAGAGATCCTAGGAAACACAGCAAGCCCATACAGGCCTGTGAGCTGGAGCTCGCATGAGCAGCCCAGCGTACAGGACAGCCCTGGCGAGCTCGGATTCCAGCACAGCTTCAGGATGCAGCTACTCTTTCACTACAGGTGCTTCATTCTGCTTTAGGCATTCAGTATGTTAGCTCAAGCTACTTCAAATCAAGGGAGGAACGGCTGAGACCCTGAGCACACACAAACCTCACCAGCAGTTGTTTTGGGCTAGGCGGTCTTGACAGCACCTCCACTGCCTATGTGTGCAGAGTCAGGTGTACAAAAGATTTAGGCAGTAGATGACTTCTCGCGCAACACCAGGACAACATCAATACCCTAACACGAGGAATATACAGTGGTCTTGGGATACCAAGACTTTAGGCAAACACCAGAACAGGAGTCGCTGGTAGCTAGAGCCAGCAATGCACCAATTGCTTTCTGAAACAGACAGACAAGATCTGGAATCTTGATGGCCTTGTGGATCTCTCAAATCACTCCAAACGTGAGTCAGTGTCTGTAACGCAAGCATTACACGGACTGACTATTTGAGGCACAGTGGAATGTGTTGTCATGGAGCACAAGAGGTTAGTGACAGCACAGGATGCCCCATAAGGATGTCACTGATGCTAAAATCTGCAGGTAACATTTGCTGAAATGAATGCTGAATAGACATATGGGTCATTACTCAAAGCTGGATTCTTACAAACACACTAACTCAGAGCAGCTGCCCACATGCTCATCACTAAGGACCTACTTACAGGACAACTTTAAACAGCAGCATGGACTGGAGGTTTGCTGCACCCAGGTGTTTTTCCAGGGTGCCAGGTAAGAGCACCGTGACGTTGCTGCAGTCACTTTCAGGTTCTGCTTCTTTTGAAACCGAACGGCCACAAGGTGCGCATCTCTGTACCTAGTATCAAAGTTAATTTTTAAATCTACGCTATCAAAATAAAAAAGGAAAATATCTTTTGGGAAGAAGCTCTCCGATTCTGAAACTGGATGGATATGACAGACACCCTGACCAATGATGGTTACTCATGTCACCCCATGGGCTGATGCACAGCAAGTTTTGCAGCGCTCTAACCAAAACCCCAGCCAGGGAATTGTCTACAGTGAAAGCTGTGTGCCAGAGCTGCACTCCTCCATACCAGAGGGATGAATTTATCACCAATGGACCTTTCAGAACACCCACTGCTGATCAATCAGGAAATAAATCTTCTGCAAACCTGGATTAGCTATTTCCACACATGACAGAGGAATTCCCACCCTCATTGCATCATTACAATGTAAGTTATTCCAAATACGAAGGAGCAAAGAGAAAAGGAAAAGACTCACCAGTGATGATTACTGACTCTTAGGTCACAGCCTACAATGGAGACATCTCATTCACTGCTCCTGCCTACAAAGCTAGCCCCCCACATCATTTAATCCATTACAGGGAAGACAGCCAATCCATTTAAAAACCCCAAGAACTGAAACACAAAGCTCTGTCATTTCAACTGTAGTCACTCAGACAAGCACAGGATCTTCAACAAGCTCCTTTGATAAACTAAATAGTCTTAGTGTATTTCAGGATGCACAGAGTGGAAGAAAAGCTTGCACAGGTTGCATGCCAATTTTGAGTACACCTATCCCCACTCCATCAGGAAGATCCATGAGTGATATTAAAATAACTGAAGCCTTCCCTAAAGATCTGTTTCTAAAAAAACCCAGTAAATTGATGTCCATTCCTTACCTCTTCAACCCTGGTCTTTTTAGAGCTTTTTTCTCCCTCATACTAAACCCTATTTATTTTTTTTTCTCTCCCCTGAATTCCTTCCAGCTTCCCATCATCTTTCTTTGATAGTTAAAGCCAGAGGATGGCCTCACAAGCACTAGGTAAGACAGAGTTAGTTATTCCGTCTTATTATTTGACATTCCTGTTAACACATCCCAGAAGGAAAACCTCACTTCAGACATCTGTTAGTGACTAATATCCACTGTTGACCACATCGTTTTTGACTGAACTGCTCACTTGCTATTTGTCGCTTACTCTGTGCATGTAATTCTCCATTCTTAATTGCAGACTACTTTTATGTTTACAAACTTACGTTGCTGAAACCACATCTCATACATTGTTTATCATCCAGCACTCAAAATACCAAACAGTGCCAAGCAAAGGATGCGTCTTTGTAAACCTCACAGAAGCTTTTCAAATAGATCTGTTAGTGATACCCTATGTCTGGAATATTCTTTTCTTAAAGAGAAGCTTTTAAAATGAATCTGTTAGTGATACCTATGCCTGGAATATTCTTTTCTTAAAGTTGTGCACCCACCAAACAGCAATTTATTCCTGACCAGATCTCCATTAATTTGCCTACAACGAAGTCACACTCCTGTTTTTACTGCTTTCGTTCCTTTGAATACATACTTTTCAGACCGTATCACTTTGACGCAATGTGTTCTTGAAAAATCCATGTTAACCACTTGTCATATTATATTCAAACTGATTAAGAATTTGTTCGGTTACCTTTCCAGGTATCAAAAGCTAGGCTGCTGTCTCTCTAGAACTCCTCAAATCCTCTTTCCATTCACTTTTTAAAGACTTCTTGCGTTATGATGGTACATCTCTCAAAGTTGTTAATGGTTCAGAAACCATTTCGGGTAGCTTCTTAAACCTCTCGGCTAAGGTTTGGCACTATCTACAGGCTTTAGCCTCTGACCCTTTGGGGGGCTACAAGGGGGTGGGGGGACAAGGAGAGAAGACACTGAACTCCCACATCCCTGTACATCCCTCTATGCCAATGCACACCCTACATCTATCTGCTAGCAAATCTGACTATATGCTCACAGGCCCCGTTTTAATTTAACCTTTGCTTCAGAACAGTAACTAAAACATTTTGCAAGAATAAATGGAGTATTAAACTTATTTCTCTGTTATTCAAGGAATATTTAAGAGATTGCTAGAAGTTAACATTGTTTCCTGCAATTTCTCCAAGCTACAGAAGTGCCAGTCAAGTTCTAGACCATGAAAAGAAATTGCAACAACTTAACTCTAACAAAGGGAACTTCCCAAACTAAACCTTTTATGACAAAAATGAATTAATAGTTTCACATTCCCAAGAGTGACCCTACCTTTCAGAATTCTTTTCATTGATCACTGCAACCAATTCATGATTTTATTTCAAAAAAATTACTAGTTCTGTACCACTGTTTATCCGATCCACAGAATTAACACAGGTTTCTGGCAGGAGGCTATACAATCCTTTTTTCCTCCCAATTTTCTGACTCTGAAAATGGCTGTTCTGGTGTAATAACTTGTCAACTTGGAGTATAGACAGATTTTAATCATAGAAACCAAAGCCTAAGTGAAAGCTACTTAGCTGTGAGTACAAAGAAAATTAAAGTTGAATTTATAATAGCTATATAATAAAGAAAAAATCTTACTTGGGTAAAACACAAGAGGAGACGTTTCAGCACTATGCTTTTTTCTTCCAGATGCCCATTCCCCACCCAAATGCTAAACAACTGGAATTAGTTCTTTAAAAATAACTAGGTTAAGGTATACTTAGTCAGTATACTCTATACTATACTTAGGAGTATAGTATCTCCACTGATACCATAAGAAACTTGTTTCAATATAATGTTCCTATAAGAAGATGCTAAATCAAATGCTGTAGGCATAATACTCTCCCAATGTTACGGTATCGGCTGCAACAGAGAGATGCATCTCAAAAACAACCGTTCACAGACAGCTGTATGTGTATTTGCATGTTCTTACCTGCTGTCTGCCCACTAAGCCTCAGCAGTATTACCACCGTCATACACAATAAACAAATACATGATCTGCTCCTGTCTGAAGGCTTCCTTCTGGAGCAGACATGGAAGAGAAGGGTTCTGGAAAACTTCCTCTCACAGAAGAACGAACTTCTGGCCAATACACATATACCCCCCCAAAGACCCCCTATGTAAGGGCTGAATTCTTACGATATTGCCCAAAACATCGTATTTAAGTAATACAGTATGAATATAAGTAACTCAGTATCATGCATGTGTCAAAAGTCTTCACTTAATCTATTTAAATGTGTAGTAATTTCCAAAAACATTTTAAATTCCCATAAGCAAATAATTTTTTTTAATGACTGAATATATATGAAAGATGACACATTAAGGCATATCTTTTACATAGTAACATATTACATTTATTTTCAGGCTTAGTCTCCAGATGGGCACCCACTGTAATGGTTCCTATTTTCCAGACAGGCACTATTACAGATAGAAAATGAAGTGATTTTCTTAATATATTGAAGTATATGATATTGGCCAACTTACTTTGCTTCATCTTCTGCAAGTCATTAACTCTGCTCTTTGGAATTTTTATATGGTCTGTTTCAATTTTGTGTTCTTTCTGATTTTCCATATTTTCTTCAAAATTTAAGTGCTGGAGAGAATTTGGAGGTATCTGCTTCACAATATCAGCATTTCCGTCATTGTCACTGTGCAAACCTACAGAATGAGGAAGGTGTGTTCGGTTTTTACATGGTTCCAGAAGGCAGCTATGGTGTTATCACAGAAGTTAATCAATCACATTTTAATACATAATCAATCCTAAATCGTTACCTTCTCAGCTGATTTTCTATGTGTACTTAAATGCTTGATGAAGCCTAGAACAATAATACGTTTATGTATTTTTTTTATTCTCCTGCTGATTCTGCTTTTCAAATCTACTAAGCATCGTTTATTGTTTCAAGAGCTATGATCTGAGGAGAAGGTTGCAGTAAGTCACAGAAGTTATGCTAAAAATAATAAGCAGAAATAAGCAGAACAGGACTACATAACCAAGGAATACAGAAAACCCTGGTCCCCTTGAAATTCACATCAACCCTCTGTTGATAAACTCTAAATTCAACGAAGCAAGCTTTTGACTTGCTATCTTTTATGTTTGCTCATTAATAAAAGTCAAAACGAAGGACTACCTCAGAACAGCAAAAAGAAACGAACTATTTAAAAGATTTGACATTTGAGAATAATAAACTTTAAATATGTATACAGACTTTGAGCTCACTAATTTTGGTATTCTAATCTGCTTACACATACACTGCAAAAGGAAAGAAATTAAGAAATACTTCTGTTGCCTTTTTTTCAAAAGAACCAATAATGGGCATACAAAAAACTTCAAGCTGTTTGGTCACGTCACAAATATATAACGAGTACATTATATTTAATGTTTTTAGCAGGACAGTATTTGAATATGCCACTTGCAGTGCAGATATAACCTAACGTTCTCTTTGACATTAAAGCAAAGTGACTTGATCCACAAGCATTAAATTTAAGTATATTTTCTATGGATTTGTGTCCTTTCTAACTGCAATTCTTCTAAACCCTTTCACTGCAGTAATTTTAGTTCTCTCACATCCTAAACCTTCCCCCCATCACCCTCAAGCGAGCTGTTCACAGAAAGAGGACACTGAGCAAGTGATAGTACCATTGTTTATTCTCTGAGTATAACTGGCTACCAATAGATCAACAATTAACTCCTGATGATATGTTGCAGCCCTATCTAATTAGTAACCCTAAGGAGGAATACTAATTTCAATTACTCTCCTCTGTCCAGCGGAGAAATCTTGAAGCACTTACCTTTGAAACTTTAACTCTCAAATTTGGCTGAAGTTGGTTAAAAGGCTCAGAAATTACTGGGGGTGTGTGGGACGAGAAGAGACCACACAACCAGCAACCCCAGTGCCTCAGAAGGCTAGACTAATCTGGCCAGATTAATTCTGTATCCTACAGAAATTGATCGTTGTTTTCCTTTTTGTAACCACATCAAACATGAAAAAGGGGCTGGCCATGTACATCTAACATTCATGATGTGGCAGCAGATATTAAATGGTAAGTTTCCTACAAAATGTTGACTTGTCACCTGCTAATAATAATTTTACCTGGTGCCAGATTCGCAACATGAGGCTGTTCAGTTGGAAGATTTATAACAGGTTGATGACCTTCACTTTTAGGAGCTGAAATAAGTGGCTTCTTTAAAGCTAAAATAAAATACATGGACAAAAGCATTAACATGAAACAAACAGACACTATATACGGGGTCTTCCTCTAACAATCCTGTAAACTTTTGTTGTTGTTGTTGTTTTCTTGTTTTTAAATGATAGATGAAAACATAAAATACAAGATTTCAGGGGAGGAATATTATCAGAAGCATTCAGTTTTGAGAATTCAAACCTCTAAAGCACAGTAAAAATTATCAGATTTTACACCCCACTTGAATTCTATTACCATAGACAGATTTTAAAATTTTGCATTCACTATGAAACAGATGGTATTCAAACAGAATATATACGCCACCAAGAACCCAAATGTGAAAGTATTAGACTATTTCTCCTAACCAGTGGGAGTATCTTCAGCTTTAGAAGGACCATTATCTTCTATTTCAGGCATGCCTGCATCTCCTCCTGGTTTGATTTTCTCTGTAAGACAAGAATAGGATAGCGTGCCTTATTAACCTTTAAGTTTGAACAGTGAATTTCCCTGTTGTGTAAGGCTCTAAGACCAGAAGAGAAGTCCTTTATCCACAGAACATGTCCCATATTGATAATGCAACTACAACACTCCTTATATTGTACCGTCGAAGTCACTGAAGACTGCTTTGGAGCAGCGCTCCCAAAATCAGTGCAATCTTCAGAAAAGGATGGGAAACAGATGCACTGCTCTTGGTAGCCGAGTAAGAAAAGCCTGCTGCAAGAAGCTGGCCAGAACAGACACTGAACTGATACAAAAAGGTGCTGATTCAGCAGCACAGAAGTTGAAACAAAAGGAACCCATCTGCCTTTTGGAGAGGCCTACAGGGAGGAAACAACAGCAATAGCTACTCACCGAGAACCTCCTGTACAGCTCCTGATAAACCAAAGGTCCCCACTGTTCCTGCTGACTTACCCAGCTAGAGACTTCTCACAGCGGTTTCAATGCTCCTTGTCTCCAGCCACCCTCTCTGTGAAGATTCCAGCTCTCCAACAACATGCCCCTTCCCTAGCTCACCCCAAGACACATCTCACAGGGAGTGGAGAGGCAATCCCCAGTTCACAACTGGTCACATAAGGAAGGATATGCCAAATGAACCAACAAAGTGAACACAAAACTGTGCAAGAAACTACTTTCATAAAAGGATCCAGAGAAAGGACATGCCAATCTCTGGATACCTATAAACTTAGTACAATCACATGCAGCTAATCAAGTTAGCTGAGCCAAATAATTCATTGTTCTACTTCAGAGAAATGCACAATTCTGTATGATTGCAAAGGATACAACACAATTGGCCCATTATCTATCAGAAATGACAAAAAAAAGGAAATACCTTTGCCATTTACAACACGATCTGAAGGCTGCTCATTCTTTACTGTGTTTTCTGCCTCTGGAACAGTCTTAGATATTGTCTGGTCATCATTATTGGGACTTACTTCAGTGTCTTTACTGGACTGAATTTTTTGTGTGGCCTGATAGAACAAATTCATAAGGAACCAATATTAAGCACATCTCTGAAAACTACAAAACAAAACCCCTCAAATTCAAGATTACTTTGGGTAAGCAAAATCACATTTATGAAGTAGATGATCACCAAAGCAAACAACAGCAGAAGTCCTCTATATACAAACCTGAATCCTGAGGGCAGGAGATGAGAGTATGGACACACAACTGAACAGAAAATGTAAAATACAGCTGGCTGTATGACATTTATATTGGCATATATATCTCTTAAGTATAACGCAAACAGGTTAAGGCCTTAAACCTCAGGCCAGAGACTTTGAAACAATTCTAGATTTTAAGATAGATCTGATTGAAATCTTCAAGTCTGCCTTATTATTCGAAATGTTTGTAAACAGAGATCAAGTAAGGAAATGAAATTTTAAGAAAAGCAGGTTGTTTCATCTGTTTGTAGGAAAGATGCCATATTCTACTGGCAGCTTGCACCACATAATTACACCCTTGCCACCATTCAATTACCATTGTTATTTGCACCACATTAGCACCTCGAGGCCTCAATAGAGATCAGGTTCCCCTTTGCAATAACCTATATAATGTTGTAAGAACACAGATCCTACCCTGGAGAGCTATAAAGTAATATCCAGAAGATATTTTTTACAGAGAAGAAACTGAAATCCTTAGCAATAGTGTCATGTAGGAAGGTTGTAGCAGAGCAAAGAATTAAGCCTGATCTTCAAGGCTCAGTTCACTGACTGAGCAAACAGGCAGATATTCTTACACTAATACCCATTTAGGGCTGCTCAGGATGATATTTAACGAAAAGTTAGAGGAGAAATGTCCAAGGCCTCCATATACCTGAAATGCTGAGTCAAACAAACAGCAAACTTCAGGCTCTTCTAATTCAACAAAGAAACTTAGCTGTGCATTACCTTTTGTTCCCGCACAACTTGGTCCATTAATTTCTTTATGTTTTCTTCATGTTGCAGTCTCATTTCCTTGATCTGCTGCCCACACTGCAGACTTGATTAGAAACACATTATTAGTTATATTTCACTTGTTGTATCTGCTCTCCCATAAATAAAATAGGGGGAAAAATATGAAGTGGCACAAAAAGCCAAACCTGAGATATAACTAGAATAGTCTGTCCAAAAAGCCTTGTCCTGGAATGTGTATGGAGTGGAAACAGACTGAATACAGAAAGAAAGCAGAACTGGAAAAAATAGGGACAGAGCAGAAAAAACAGTAAAATAAACAGAATGGCCTTGAACATATTTCCTCCAAAACCTGGAAAGCAACCAGAAAGTCAAGCTTCACAGTTAATCTGTCATCAGCATATATTAATTCCACTAGGAAAGCAATATATCTCCCATGGCTGTCAACACACAAGATGCACAACTACTGCTATCGGTTACTGCTACCAACTCAAATAACAAGATCTGAATGACACACCTAAGTGTCCCAACTTCTCTAACAAGCCACAGAGATCAACCCAATTCAACAAAATTCCTGTCTCCCACAAACCCGCAAATACTCGACATAGCACATAGAGTAAAAATATTTTTTGTGTGCGAAAGTTTCAAACATTTTCAAGTGTTATAATCTCCCTCATTCCTCAAAGCTTCAGAAGTAGTTGTTTACCCTGCTTCTCCATCATAAACTTAAAAGGCTGAGGTCAACTTAAAATTTCAATCTACACAATGCTTTCAACTTCAGTTGAAAAAAATGAAATTACACTTTCTAGAAAGACAGTAATTAACAATCCTGGTGGCTTACAGAACTGTGTCAATTAAACTCTTCCAAGTATTTGTCAACTAAGATCTCCACAGTATAAAAAATGCATTGACTTAAAATCGTCCAATGCTGAACAATTCTAGTAAGTCAGATTTTTCTTAGATCATATCTCACTTTGAGGGGAGGAGTAGAACACCACAAAAAATAGAACTTTAAAATCAAACAACTGGCTAAGTCAAAGCTACATCACCAAGTGAGTACACTCCAGTTTGAAGATTAGCAGAAATAGGATTAATTTGCACTTTTTAATAAATACAGACTTCCATTACACACACAAACCTACAGTTACTAACATTCTTGAAGACATACCTATCATATTCCAATCTCCTTGTAAGGTAAGTATTGTTCTTCTTGTACTCGTGAAGCTGATCTTCCTGGCGAATGAATTCCTGACGTAATTCTGCTAGTTGCTCTAGACCAAAAAGCAAACATCAACATGGATACAGAAATATAAGAAAATGCCCCATGGTGGATACAACTTTCAATATTGCTATATAAGTTAAAAGTTTGCTCAAGTTTTATGTTATTTCTTCTAGATATACTTTAAAGATTCTTAAACTAACTTGAAAAAGATGCCAATTTACTCATGTATGCCAGATGTCACTATGAATTATAGAACAATTCTTCTGATACTATGCCAAAACCCCTAAATTTTTCTTTATCTTTTCATACAGAAGACCTACACAATGCTATTTCACCTATCTGTTGAAAATCTCCTTAATTTCCTGAAAGACTCTGTTATTCTGAGTAACACAAAAGTACTACTAGGTTACTTTAGGCACGATGGTCAAATATTCTTTTTCTGCAATAAGTGTACAAAAGAGGGTACCTTCACACTAACCATAAAACCAATACATATTTCCTGTCTTCACAATTGTTCTAGAAGCTCTTCTCCCTGCTCCTCAAGCTACAAATAATTGTTAAGCTTCCTACTATTTTAAGGTGCAACTACATAGACACAGGCACAAATGCCAAGTGTGTTGTCTGCAGGCATGTACAATCTTGGCATTAGCTGTTCCAGGTCACTCTGAAACCCATACAGTAAGATTACAGGCACTGTAATCATGTCTGTATATAACAGCCTTAAAAGATGTTTTCTGGACCTTTTCTAACCCAGCATAAGTATCATAACATTGCTTATCCAGACTATACTAAACTGTGTATTTGGTCACGAAAACGATTCTAATGTCTTGGAAGTAAGCAGTGCCAGAATACATGTTCTTTCTGCAGACAGCAGAGCAAAGTCTACGAGAGCCAACCCTACACTTATCCAGACTAGGTAATAAACAAATATAATGAAATTTCACATTATGCGATGTTCCAGCATCACTTGATCTTTCATTTAAAGTGTATTCAGCAGTACCTAGGCAGTTAAAAAATACACAACTTCAGTCTGCCAAATCACCGTTTGGCCATAAATTCCTTACCTTTTAAACGATTTATGTCTGCCATTTGGTATGATATGTTGTTCTGCAGCTTAATCTGAAAGGAAGAAATGGTTATATAAATATAGACAATCAGCAGGTTAGAGAGGGTTTAGACTGCGAAGACTCAAGTGCGTTTGTTTTCATTGTAAAGACAATGTGTGCAAAGGATTGCACACATCATATCAGAATGATGTATACAAAGTTCTTGTAAATATAAGTAATGTATATTTAGTTATCTATAAGTGATATCATCAACCTAAACACTGTATTTAGGCTCTGCTAACAAGGATTTAAATTTATTTCCAGAACATATTTCTATCAAAAAAGTAGGTTGTCAGGACTAAAATAAACACACTGCATTCTCATACTGCAGAAAGAGACGGTGAATTTGCAATGTCAAAGCATAAGTGTATAAAAATAAACACACAGCATCATTAGCAAAAACAATTTTTACCTAATGTATATTTAAAGTAAATTTTTTATGTGATGCTACCTAATATTCATAACACATTTTATTTTTAAGAGAGAATCTGACACCAGTAGACTTCCACAACAGCTTTTAATTTGGTATTTTTTAGTAAGGAAAAAAGAGCATAGAATCATAGAGTCGTTTAGGTTGGAAAAGACCTTTAAGATCATCAAGTCCAACCGTTAAAGTCATTAAGTAAAGATGCTTTGTCTTGTTCTTACATAAAGACATATGTAAAGACAAAAAACAGCAGAAATTAACAGAAAGATCCACACGTAGAACATACTGAGAAAGGGTGAAAAAAAATCCACGACCGTCATCAGTCAACACTGATGCTGTAATTATTTTTCTTGTAGTTTCACGATCGGTATAAACAGTAACTCTAGAAAGGGTGCTGAAACAGGGTTGTCATTCTTGGGTTACAAGGTCAGCATTACCTCTCAGAATACCAAAATGAAGTACAAGCACACCTACTCTGGTGCGGGATGGGACACACACACATACAGGCTATTTCAACTCCCACACAGATTCTGAAGCTCAATGTCTCAGTCAGTTACCTACATTTCCTGTCAAAACAAACAAAAAAGACATATGCCCTTACTTTAAGACTTCCTCCACCCACCTCTACCTTCCCCTTTATCAAATTATTCATTTATTTTAAAATGTCTCGCGTAATGTTTTTGTTTTTAAAAGAGGCACTCAAACTCTAGACCATCTGATTCAATTCGTCCCATATGGGTTGAGGCAGGCATTTATAACTTTAGGAACCACGGCCATACAAGAACTGCTGAAATCGTGATTTTCTGCAGAACAGAGCGTACACGGAGGCACGCATCCAACAGCTCCAGTCACATAAATAGAGGCTCCTTATGAAATAGAGTGCTCCATCGAGGGTTTTGTTTATGCCAGACTGCAGTATCCTGGCTCATCCCTAGCAGCAATGCACACACGGGCAGTGCTGGCAGCAAACCCTGCCCCATGGCAGAGGACAAAAGCCAAGAGGGTTTCTGGAGTGTGGAGAGGCACCACTGCGATGGCTCGACCTATGGGGGGGAACGCCCAGCCACTTCACAAGGCTTTTCCCAAAAAAAGAAAGAATGGCAGATGATGCAATCTTTTGGTAACCCGAGAACCCTGACCATATTGCTCTGAAATATGATACAAAATAAAGACACCCAATAGGGACACTTAAGGAGCCTTCTCGGCACCTTAGAGCCATGCATTTGAGAACCAGTTACACATGTGCTCTGCCCACCAAGACATTTAAGGCACTCTAGTTACAGGATGCGCAAAGAACAACTCAACTAAATGAAAGCCTGTGTTGGACTTCCTGTGCTTTATTTCAAAAGTGCAAGTAGCCCCTGTGGTGGGGACTTCACACAGAAGCACAATACAAGAGTAACCGCCAAGCCTTTCTAGTCCAACAGGCGCCCATCTTGCCAGCTCTCCATCGAACGGACACCAGGACAGGGGAACAGATACAAAAAGAGTGATTTGTTGAGCATTAATGAAAAAG